GTCCTCATCAGATGTTGATATTTGACACCAATTTGTGCCCTTTTCATAGTGACAACGTTCTTTTCTTGGAAAATCTTCAGTTAATAAAATTATGTAGCACAAATACCATCACGTCTGCTGAAGCTGGTAGAAATGGTGCCATTAGATAAAAATAAAGATTTCATGGTGGTTCATCCCTGACTAGAAAAAAAGAATTGTGCAACATAGGAGGAAATTCTGTGACTAGGCATCTCATAAAGCATGACTAAATTCTCATAATGAGCTATCCAAATTGAGACCAATTCTAATGAAATTAGTGAGTGCGAGATTAGACAATCTGACATTGCAACTGGGTGATTCAAATCAACTACTTTACCTTGGGGTTGAGGAAAGCTAGCTCCCTAATGCGCCCTGCAATTGTGTTGTAGTCAAACTGAATAGCAGTGGTGAATACTGCACATTCAGCAGAGATCGAAATTATTCAAATGAAAGTCCTTGGAAAGAAGGAACATATAACTGTCAACCTAAACATACAATTAAACATGCATGATCATATAGACCTTCTTTGTCAGGCCAAAATCTGATGCATGTCCCTTGACGATCTTTTTGTTCAACAGGAAGCATGTCAAACATCAGAGGCGTTACTGGCTTCCCACGAGAATATTTTTGCTTGTATTCCAGTCCATTACGCCACACTGTTACCTCAAGCGTCTGAAATTAAATACCAAGGTTAGAATTGTAGATAACTTAACCGTATTAGCAACCTTAAATGTGGGATCAAAATATGCTAGTGATAATAAGAACACATAAAAATGGCTCTCATGGAACTGTTAGCTATCTCATATTCATTATCACAATTATTCAGACGAATTACCTAAAATATTAGGGCAAGAAACAGATTTCATAACAGGAAGGGGAGAATTCATAATTTACACACATGTACACACAAAGGAACCGAATACTAATAAGTTCCATAGATTTGGAAACCAACTTTTTTTTTTTTTGGGGAAAAAAAGATTAATGCAAGAGAAGACAGTTTTCACCTCAGACAAGGCATTAACAACAGATAAACCAACACCGTGCAAGCCACCTGAAACAGAGTAGCCACTCTTTGCACCCCCAAATTTACCACCTGCATGCAGCACCTGCATATCTCAGAAGATAAATGACCACAAGGGATCAAAGCCCAAGAGTTAGACTTCTTCAAAAACTAGTGCATATTTTATCTTTCCAGAACATTTAACATGATAACATCCACCTTTCACAATACACAACAGTTGACGTTGATGAGCACATTCAATTCCTTGAATATCATCGATGGATATGCAAAATATCACAAAGTGAAAAATATCCAGGTTTATTCAGACATGCAGGTCAGATGATGCTCTTGAGCATACAAGTCTAAAGGTGGTTGAAACTGAGAACAACAAAGACTACTTTATATATGTTATATGAGAGAAGATGTCAGATATCAAGTTCAGGAATTGGCAGCCCCACTGATAAGAAGGTCAAAAGAGTCAATTGAGATCAATTGACCAAACTTGGTTTGGGAAGTAGGCTGCTAATGAATAATAAGAACAATGATCAAGGGGAGAAAACAACTCTAAAACTCAATTACTTTTTATGAAAGCAAAGGCATTTCTCCACATTTTGAGCCAAACTTAATTTTGATGGAATAAGAGAATAAACAAAATTGGAAATTTGGAATTTAATTTGATGGCAGCCAAACTTAATTTTGAAACAATCATAAACCTTTCAAAAATAAAATAACAAACAAATTCCATGCTATATTTAGTTTACAGAAAATGCAACATTACCGTCAATACTGTCTCCAGGGAAGACTTATTTGTAACTGGGTGCATGTCAGTGGGGATCTGCAATTCACAAGTAAAAATGATATTTAATTGGAATGAAGCAAGAAGTTGATATGGCTCTTGCAACCATAGAAGAAAATGATATGTAAAAGCAATCTTTACTTGACAGAATATATTTTAATTTACAATTACAATATGCATTTCAAATTTAGAATGATATGAGTTTTCCATAATTATATCGACATGAAAAAGTGGCCAGGTATTGCATTCGATTTTTTTTTTAACCCAATTTTAAAATTATGTATGCAAGAAGATGCAAAGTGAATATAATAACTGCGATAATATTGCCACTGTTTTACAGATGATAAGCAAAACCATGACATTTTGTGAGTATTAACCTGAAAAATGCATTAAACTTAAACTTAAGATCAAATAGTGTCATGGCAAATTAATAAATGGAAATAAACAAGGAAGCACATTCAACGCACAGGTAAAACACAGTTAGTCCATGGAAAAAAAAAAAATCAATTAGAGATTTAATCATAGATGACAAGCCATACCCCACGGCCATTGTCAGTGATGCTCACAGAATCATCAGCAAGTAAAATGACATCTATCTTTGAAGCAAACCCCGCTTGAGCTTCATCAACAGCATTATCCAAAATTTCATAGACCTAAGGTAAGAACAAGTAACATCTTTGATCAGATAGACTTCAACATAGATATTAGATAACCGCAATAAGAGTTAGAAGAACATACCAAATGGTGCAATCCACGTGGACCCGTGCTTCCAATATACATTCCTGGCCTTTTTCTAACAGGGTCCAATCCTTCAAGGACCTATATGTATCAAACAGCCACTGGCTCATTACGTTGGGCAAAGCATTACATGAAATGATATAAAGCGATAAGCGTACGCAGCACATTGTAGTAACGATACTATTGAGCACCAAAAAATTTATTAAGATCTATCCACCTTCTACGATTAATTCATAATTCACACACAACCTACTACACACCTGAATTTGATCAGAACCATAAGCTTTGGAGCTTTCATTTCTGGGAAGAGTCTCAACTGTTGAGCTAGATGACACATACGCCCTCGGAGTGACTGTTGTTGGGACCAGATAATGGGTTGAAATTTTACTCAGCTGAAAAGTCGCCCTGGGTAAACCACACGAATCGTTATAAAGCTCATAACGGAAAACACCCGTTTGTGTATCTCCCAGAAACTCAGTAAGAGTACCTCAAAGAAGTGTACGATCCTCGTTTATAAATTACTCGCAAACAATAATTTACGTTTTCCTCCAGGAAAAAAGGGTAATCCAATGAAAAATTTTAATACCCGGTTCAACCTAAAACAGCTATTGGGTTTCATTCAGATACTTCCGTGACTTTTTTAAGAGGATGAAAGAACATCACCAAATAAAAGTATGCCCGCATTGAAATATTGAATTTTTCAAGTTCGGACGGTAATATTGAGCAGGCGTTATCCTGTTACAGCTACGTTACTTGGTTATTTTAGTAGTTTGTCAAGAACATAAAAAACGGGAAAGAGGAAGCGCAGATAGAGAGTACCTGCGCATGAAGACCATGGAGGACCCAGAAAAGGAAAAGGACGAAGAGAGTGAAGAACGAGAAGAGGAAGAAGAATGTGCGAAGATGGAAGCGGTGTGGAAGAAGCGAGAGGCCATGAAGCGAAGAGGAAGATAAGCAGAAGAGAGTTTGAGAATAGGCGCCATCACCACGACATGAAGTATTTTGCAGGCAAGGCGAGAAATTATTTAGCCTCTGCTTTGCTTGCAGGGTGACTTTGTCCGAAAGCGTCAGACCAGAAGCACTATCACTAGCCGTCCATATCTTTCCCTCTCGCTTCGCTTCCCTCTAAACCCTACATTTTAACAAAGCTCTTAATTTTCCCTCCATCCCTCCCCCGGTATCACTTTAAATAGATACTGTATTGAGCATTAATTGATTGGTAGATTTAAAAAAAAAAAACGGTATAAATTAATTGATGATTAAATTAGATTGATCGTATAAACGTTAAATATGAGCTGAAACTTGTTGGCAAAAAATAAACGAGCTGTAACTTTGCTGCTTTTAACTCTTTTAAAAAAAATTAAATTGATTTTTTTTTTGCAATAAAATTGATTGATATTTAACGCCAACATTAAAGATACCGATTTAGTAATAATACAGAAGCCGTTGTCACCTGAAACTAGCGGACATTAGCAACCCTCCCCCAATGAGGAGGTTGTATGTTCGATCTTCAAGATGAGAAAAAGGTAATAGGTTTTTGTCCCTATGCATAGGATAGAGATATAGATGAGTTGGTGCACACATATACCGGCGATTTATCCCTGACCAAAAAGAACATTGACGGCAATTTTATTGTTTTAAAATTAATGAATGATTGGCGTTGATTGACGATCGAATGAAATTGATTGTATTTTTACCAGATTTAAATGTGGATGTATTAGTTTTTTTTAACATGAAATCAACATTGGAAATAATATGATGCCGTGTTAAGAGCATGTTATACAATACCTTTACAGTTTTTGCCCAAAACAAACATTTTTACAATTTTAAGGTTATTCACTTTCTAATATTTTTTCCAGCCTTAATCGTATCAAATACCTCCCTAATTTGCTGCCAAAATTCAAAACTTCAATATAACCAAAGCTTAAACAGTACCTATTGCATGGGAATATTCAAAATATTTACAAGACATGATAATTAATTTTTAAAAACATAACACATTAATGTACGATCATGTCAATGAACAAAACTTTATTTTTTTAAAAAAAATCTCAACCATTATTATTTTCCTACGTCATAAATATTAGAATCATATAGGCTATCTATACTCAATGTCATATGGCGACTACACATTCATATGCATTGTTAATTGTTATTGATATTGATCTATAATATTTTTATTTTTTAAGTATTCAACTTCGAAATATATAAAAAATAAAAAAAAATTCTTCATAAATTTGGAAATGACCTTAAATTTTCAAATTTTAGCTTGTAAATGTAAACATGAGGCTCAAAAAATATTTTGTAAAATTTTCATAAACTTACAAGAGAAAATGTAAGAGGAAAATATGCTATTTAAAACACTATAAAAGAATTGTGTTCCAGATAATATATGCTAATGAAACACAGTTTGACGGATGCCATGCTCCGATAATTCTGCCATAAATCTCATGGAATCATTAATTTTATAAATTTTCTTTCTTGACATAGTATACAAAGAAATGTACAAGACAAGGTTTCCGGGAAAACACAAAGTCCCTTTACACACGACCCCCCTGGCCGAGACAGCTTAATTAAACTGAGACGAAGAAAAGAAAAAAGGAGGAGGAAATTATGAAAAATCATACCATTCTATTCAGCGCAGAGGGGAAAAATAATTCATAAGATAACCTTTTGTCTGGCCATCCTTGCCCGAGGATCACAGCCAATAAAATTTCACCTAAAAATTACGTCCGGTCCTGAAAATTTCATAAAAAGTAACGTCAATGAGTCTGCTCACAGCAACATTTTTAACCCCCAAAAAAGAAAAAGGCTAGCAAGATCTGGAGAAATGGATATCAAGTAGGCAGAACTTCAAAGGGTGCCCGTGCAAAGAAAAAGGATCCGGGGACCGGCTTTGACAATGGCAAAACAGCATCCCAGCAAACTCATCTTTTATTATTTTAAAACGCAGAATTTATATACTTTGACAGTTGACCATATTGATCATAAAAATAGGCGAGTTCTACAGTAGCCTTAATACAGAAACCAGGTAAAGACTGGATCCAAAGAAGGTAAAATGAGATTATCAACTTCAGGTTTACTCAAATTTTAAATAAAAATACTATCATGGTGAAAAAAGAAGGGAAGGAAGATGAAATTGACCTGGAAGAAACTAAATGAGAACTATTTACAGCACCCCTTGGAGCACTAGCTCGCCTTGCCCTATGATCGTTATCCTTGCCAACCCGCATGGCAGCAACTTCCTTTTCCATGGCAGCTACTTCCCTACGCATTTTTTTGGCCTCAACTTCCATAGCCTTGTTCAATGTATCAACCTTCTTTGCGAGCATCTACACATTTGCAAGAGAAAACCACAAATTAAATTAGAGAAGAGCTAGAAAGTATTTAATGTAAAATTTAACTGTTAACCAAAAATCAAATACCAGACCTCAATTGCATCATCCTTGTCTTTAAGGGTCTGGTCTTTTTCATGACAAGCTTTCCTCAGATATATAACCTCTTTCTGTAACATGTCATACAGCATTCCAGAAACATGGTCTTCATGTTCTGCTTTAGATTTTTCAATTGGCGCATCATTTGCACTTTCCTCACTTGCAGTGACATTCTCAGTACAGGTGGTTTGATCACTGGCATTGGCTGGCATGTTATCTTGCCCGCTCCCATTTGAAGTTGGCCTCTCTCTCTCAAGGGATCTAATACCACCATCGAATGATCTAGAAGAGAGTTTGGCATGTTTTAATAACACGCTGGCACTGTTTGATCGTATTGACCCTGATTTTGAACTTGAGCTTTTCCTTGATAGATATCCATTGGAGGATCCAGAGAGGTTCTCGGCTCCTCCAAAAGACTGACGCCTTGAAGGTCCACTGGCAATGTTTCTTACGTCTGATGCAATGATTTTAGAATTACCATTGGATGCTTTAATCTTTTCTTCCAAAACTTTGAATCGCAGTTGATACTTCTCCTGTGTAGCCAATTCAATTAAGTACTGGTTATTGAGAAGACGCCTGAAAAGAAATCGATTGGGAGTAACATAAATTAGACAGACACCTTCATTTGTGCTTCTGCTTTTGCAGTGCGCTCAGCTATAGCTAGTTTATCTCTGAGCTGCTGCATTTCACCCTACAAAACCATGAAAACGTTAATCTATCCCCAAAATATGCTAGCAATTATTGTGTTTCTTCCCTATTCTCTGTCTACTGATAAGTGGTTCTCTGATCTTGACATCATGTATGCATCAAACTGCTAGGATAACCGACAAAGCTACTGTGAACCATTAGAGTAATTACAAACACAACTAAGTAAAGTTACACAATTAAGTAAAGTTGTTACATTTCTACTATATGAGCTGTTCAGTTGGAAACATCAGCCCATTGCAGTAAGAATCAGCCATGAGAAACATGAAAGCACCTTGTGGAAAAAGCTTTTTTTAGATAAAAATGTGAAAGATAAAGTAAAAGAATATTCAGAACCCATCCCATACCTGGAAAAATTTTCTTTCTTCAAGCCACTGTTTAACAGGCATCACTTTGTCGTTAGCATCTTTCCACTCATTTGCAACAACAGTGGCAACCCTGTTTGCAGAAACTTTAGCACGTGCAACTTCCCGTTCCAAAATTTTCTTCTCCTCCTATATACAAACTACAAAGGTTAGAATTGGTCCATAAAAAATGCTTTCAAGGTTAGAAGCAGCTAAAAGCTTGTGCTATAGGCTAACAAGCAAGACCGATCACCAGGCATATGATAAAGGTTTATATTTCGAGAATGGAAATCATTACATTCATCTCTTGCACTTTCCGCTGGTAATCACGGACAGCATTAGCAGCAGCCCCACCAGCCAAGACAGCCTCCTCAAGCTCACGAACTGTTTGGGTTAGCTTTTCAACTTCAGCCACCTTTTGCCGCTGCATTTTGTCCAGTATTTTGTTCTCCTCCTGGCATTAAAGCAGCACATTTAACTAAATGTTGCCTCCTACTCATTGATTATAAGATGTAGGCAGTTGCCTGAGTTACAAAACAAATAAAATTTGGAAGACGCACCTGGCATATCTCAACCTGTTTCATTAGTTCTTGGTTCTTGTTTTGAAGATCATCAACCAAGGATGCCTTTGCCATGGCAATTTGAACAGTTCTCTCAGCCTCAAGAAGGGCAGCCTCCTTTGATTTGGTTAGCCGATCTAGTGCTCTATTGTCATCCTGCAACTTTGCAACCTGAAACATGGAAACAGCCAGCACAAAGTGTGATGGACACTCTTTTGGTCTTGATTCTCATAGCAGAACAAGACATACATGAAATAGGAAAATGACTCTAAACTTGAATGTAGAATGTAGCTGCGCCAAAAGCCAAGTCCATTCCAATTTACTCCTTCTGGTCCACATTATGGGGTATTGGTAACTAATTCACAATCCTAAAAAACAGTTAGTTGCTACCTTAATCTTTTAATCTTAAAAAAAAAAAATATGCATATTTACAATTATACCCTTATTAAATGCCCTATATAAGTACTTTAATAATGAAAATTGAAATTCCAATGGACCATTAATGAATGAAGTTGAATTGTAGTTGGAATAAAATTATAAGATTTTCCAGTGCCCTATATTTTCAACCAAGCATAACTTCTAGAAAATATCCTATATTATAAAATACAAACCGGAGGGAGTATTAGTTTTAACTGTACAGCATGCCACTAGTCCAGGATGCCTTAAGTGTGGAAAGAGGATGTCTCTTTAAGCATAATACTAGACCAAATATAAATTAAAAAAAAAAAACACCTCCATCCTTGCCAGCTTGAGCTCTGCTTCCAGAGGTGTGATGATAGCTTCAATAGGAGGCATTTCATCATCTTTCTGAGCAGCATGAACTCTTCTTAGTGTGGCTTCGGCAGCAAATTGAGCGGCCAATGCTGCCTTTTTCTCATCATTGACTTTTTTTAATTCAAGGTTCTGTGAAACAGAATGTAGCATTAGGTGACATGGAAATAATGGCTATAGAAAAGAGGAAAAATTTTCAACAAGGGAACGACCATAACTAAAATACTACCTTACTTTCCAGAAGAGCTTCAGTTGCTTTAAGTTTTTCATCCACCTTGTTCAGCTCATCTGTTATCTGAAATTATTAGGACCATGGAAGCAATAAGTATACTTGTAATGGGTTCAGCATTCTAAAATATACTGGCATCTTCATTAAGCACAAGACTTCAAATAGAAAGCTTGCAGCTTATATATATCCAATTAAAGAACTAATAATTTTGTGACAGGAGAGTTTCTGCAGCAAGTCAACAGAAATATACCTCATGCACTGCTTTTTCTTTAAGACGTTCTGAGTTCTTTAAGGACCTAATCTCTGCAAGAGCCTCCCCAAGCTCTCTATCTTTCTCTGCAAGTGAAACAATATTCAATGATGCTCATTATTAAAACAAGGGCACACCCCACTCTAATGAAGAGAATTATCTTTTAAATAAGATTCTGACTTTTCAATTGATGAGAACTTATCAGTTATAAAGAAACAAATGAAAGACGGGAGTGATGAATACAGGCGTGGTATTGATTCTTGGGAAAATACAAGTGCGCTATATAATGTACCTTGGGCTCCAGAATTTAACACTATTGGCAGGATAGCAACGCATCTACCCAAAATAAGTGGGAATAATATTTTGATCATAATGCATACAACAAATAAGATCCATCAGAAGAACAAACCATCTTCATACCTTAACTCCCCAATCTAGGTATCTAAACAGAGAATATCCACAACCTATCCATCTATATATAGGATGATTCGAACCAGATCCTGAGCTATGCTAAAATGATGCCTCAATTTGACCGCATGCAGCATATAAAGTTCATGCTTTGGTTCAAAGATCCATTTGACAGCAACAGTTTTCCGAGCAAAATGGCGATGACAACTTAACATTGATTAGAGAGAGAGAGAGAATGTTGTTCTGTTTCTATTTCAAAGGTGACAAGGAAAAAGGGATATTAGGAAAAATGCAAGATAGCATTTACATTCCATAATTCATTCTTATGCAATATATTTATTTATGGATGTCCGGGACAATATCCATCATAATAGGTAAAAAATCATATCTAAGATTCATTCCTCAAAGACCCTGACTTACAGAAAAAACAAATAATTATTGCCAAAATGGCCAAATTTGCATGTTGTGGAAAGAATGGAAGTATTATTTAATTGATAAAGATATCCCAAGATATATACATCAAATTCAGCGTGAAACTAATGCAGTTCAATTAGAATAATCTTGTCATTGATAAAGTTAGCTATTTTTTTTGCTCGTCATAAAGTTCGCTAAGTTGAATCGACGTTGTTTCCTTGACAGAAGACCACAGTCGATATAGTGCCCCGACAGCATTTTGTCAAAATTCCTCTTTAGTTTTTTTTTTGGCCAAATTCCTCTTTAGGTTTGATTTTCTCTTTTTCCCACAGAATTTCTTCATGAGAACCCGAACAAGCAATTTTTTTTTTTAAAAAAAAGAAGGAATTAACAAGCAACGAATGCAACGGCATAACGCGCCTCGCACTTCTCCAATACACATTCTGGGGAGAAAAAAATTAGTAAACCTGCCCAAATTAGCCAGAAGAGTCAATCAGGCTCAGAGTCATCCGGAATATGCGTTCACATTCTCCCCCGGAAAAGAAAAATTCCGAAGAACGAGGAGGGAGAAAAGAAGGAACCTCGGAGTTCATTCTCAAGGCGGCTGAGCTCGACGCGGACTGGATCAGAGCCGTGTAAGAGGGTGATAACATCGTCTACTTCGGAAGGCTGTCGGGCGATTGCGGTGGACTTCTTGCGAGCTTTGAAGGAAGCAGAAGAGGTGAGGAGAGGGGGCTTGGCGGAGTCGAACTCGGCGCCATTGCCAATGTGGGTGTTCGCCATCAGAGATCTGGGAACGGTGAGCTCATACACAATCTTACCCTGAACCCTAACTTCAAAATCAGCGAGAATCGGTGAAAGTACTGAGCTATATTATATTAACTAAGATTAGCCACTATTGAGAGAGAGAGAGTGAGAAACATAGAAGTCTAGTGTGCGTGTGTGTATATACGGAGTGATTAAGGAGGAGGTTTAGGCGGGGGTTTTAAAATTAGACACTGATTATTTAAAGCTCTTCTTGCAGTGAAAGGGGATGCCGATTGCTGATTAGCGTGCGAATGACAGGGATTGGAAAATGGAAACAGCACCTGGGAAATTATAGCATGCCCTGCCTGTCTATCCTACTTACAGTGCTCCTTCATTTTTCTTTTTCTGCTGAGAAAGGCTGACACTGTGACAAATGGCAACACTAAAAGAGCCATGACTCCATTATTATTTTTTCTTTAGATGATTGATGATTTGAGGAGGACAAGTCAATTTTACTTTTTTATTTCGTGAGAATCCAGTCTTATTATTATTATTAATCGACAGGAATTCGTAATCTTCTACTCATTTACTTTAATGAAATGCTAAAGTAAAATATCGTGAGGCACCATTACGTTGTACTAGTAACAGTTATAAAAGATTCTCTCTCTCTCTGCACAAACAGTTAACGAAGATTCGGAGGAGTCCAGTAACGAGATCCTAATGACATACTGCATACTAATATGATAGTAATAATTATATGTTTTGTCGTTACAAAGAATGAAAAATGAAGGACCTGGATAATGAGTCTGGCATTAGAAGATTCTGAGGATTAGCCGATTAGGGAGATATGGTCAGGAAACAGCGCGCAGAGGATACCGACACGTGTCACTGGAGACAGAAGCACGTGTCTCTCCGCGGAATAAAAGAAGAGACGGCCAAAAGGGGGGCGCATCGTAACGAAGGGTGGGGAGCGAAGCAGGGGCGCAGAGGAAGCCCGGAAGAAAGCAAGGCGGGACAAGGCGCACATGCGAGTGGGAAAGGTGGAGAGCACACATGACAAATCTTAAATCCAGCCATTGAACCTTCGACGTTTCTGCCCATGTGGGGCCCACTATTGCCCGTCCATTTTTTCAACAACAACGCGGAAATAAAATGTTGATAACTGTATTCGCTTGTACGTTTCTGAATCCTTTGATCATCAATGCCCCATCATTTTATGCGCCCAATTGACCCGCACGCGCCCCACACCAGCGTGCAGCGTGCTCTCCCCCCCCCCCAAAACTTTCCTTTGTAATATTGGTAATCCAGGAATTTGTATGCGATCTCAAATAAATATATTCAAACTTTGTCTCACATACTGCCACACGTTTGAAATTAATAGCAGTGAGTTGTCCGTACCATCACGAATCAGCCGTCAACATCTGGCTGTGTAGCGGATCGGGTTTCCAACCAGCTTGTTCCGCACTCGAACGCAAGAGCAATTCACGCTGATTAGTAATTTTGCAGAGATGAACTTTCCACAAAGTATCTATTAATTTAATTGATACGGGGGATAACAAAGGTCAAAATTTTAACAGGCTCATATTTCACAAGTATAATAAAATTAGTTCTTCTTGGTTTTTTTAAATCCTTATTTTATCGTTCAAATTTCTGTCCCCTACTTCGCAGGTAAAAATCACTAATTTCTCCAGCCTCTATTTGGCGCGTTTGGTTAAAAATAAAATATTATTCATTATTTAACATGCAAAATATTTTAGATATCTCAGTACGTTTCACAAACATAATCAAAAAGGTCCAAGTTAATACTTCTGACCAAGGTGCTCCTTTTTCAATCTCATTATTACCTAGATCTGATAATGCTAGATTCCGGTTTCCCCTTTAATTGCTCTTAATATTCTTCCGTTGTCTGCACTAGTCAAACAGGAAATAAAACTGATGGCGTATTTTTCATATAAATATATTTGTGTGTGTGTGTGTGTGTGTAGAGAGAGATAAAAAGAGAAAGAAGAAAGAAAATTGCCTCATTTTATGATGGCCCTTAAAAGTAATACTGCAATCAGATTAATATGGATCGTTCAAAAGTCTTCACCAAAAGGAATCTGATTATTTGGGTGACTCTGTAAAAAGCCAATATTAAACTTTCAGCAACATCCAAAAAACGAAGAGCCAAAAGGAGGAGGATTGCTTGTAAGCAAACCACAACTCTTGAAGGACCACATTTATCTCTTCACCCAAGGGATCTCAAGCTCCAGAGTCAGTTTCATTTCATACTCAAGACGGTCTATTACAATTCCAAATTCACTAGTTGCCCAATTTTCCATCAAATGACGAATACATGCCTCACTAAATGGTGTAATACTCAGGCCGAATAAGGAAAGAAAATAGAGAGAAATACTACGTAAATCTGACAGGGTGGGTTGCTTGGATCAGATCTTGAACAAAAGCTCCTGAAACTTAAAATAGGGATGCCTTTAACAATACCCAAAGAATAAGGTCTAATATTATATGAGATTTCATACTTGGATTCTAAGATATAGTTTACACCACAACAGGAATTGAAAGCAAGAGTCTTTCAAAAAGGTTACCCATATGGCACCTGTTAAATTGATTTTGAATTATTGGCTATTGCAGCTTCACGTTCCCGACGATACCGCTCCCTCTGTAACAAAGACCAGGTCAAGAGTCAATTGAATAGACTAATTAATAATAAATCAACCGCAGATACATCTTTTCATCACTTTTTTTTGGGCCTCACTGCTTATCATTATTTAAAAGGATAATGAGCATCCTAGATCCTAAAGTATTACACAAATAATATCCTGGACCCCAAACCCCTTAAATGTGCAAAAACTCTCCTCAACTTTTAAATTCCGAATCTTGAAGCCCCACTGTTAAGTTAGAGAAAACGACTGTTATTTTTAAAAATTAAGATGACTAATATATTTGTATGCGGCTGACCCCACAACTACAAAAATAGTAGCCATTATCTCCAACTTAACAATGAGGTTTCCAACGCTCAAAGTTTAAAAATTAAGAAAAGTCTTTGCACATTTCAAGAATTCAATATTCATAATGCTATTTGCACAATAGTTTAGGATTTATGATACTCATTAACCTTTATTTAAAAACTAATAATACAGAAGGAAAAACCCAATTCCAGAGATTAATTTCTTCTAGGGGATCTTAAAAAGTAAATGAAAGAATGCCTATTAATATACACTAAATGGATGAAGTAATTGTTCTCGTATTCCAGTCACAGCCTTGAACTTAGCATGGATAAGATAACTTTCTTTTTTTCTTTTCTTTTCTTTTCTATTCTTTCTTTTTTTTAGAAGAATTTCAAAAAGCATATTGTTTTGTAAAACATGGCCCTTGAAATTTGCCCAAAATTCCATAAATAATGCACTAAGAAGAACTTGAAGATCTCTACCCAAAAAACAGTACTTGCCGCTCTAAGAAAATTAAGATTTACATGCTCAATGCTTTAATATACAATCAAGCTCAGAAAATTCTATCCACCGGAATCATAGAACTCACTGAATAATATTTTTCATTGCTAATTTATCTTCAATGGCTTCGTTTATAAATACACATACACATATCAACTGAGTAAATAGTTTTCAAGATGTTATTGGATTATAACTGTGATACACTTACTATAAAACAATTGGTTTGAACTATGAAACAATCCCAAAACTGACTGAGTAATAGTCATCAAGATGTTATTGGATTTACAAGTGTGTTACACTTACTTGCTATAAAACAACTCTGTTCTCCCTTTTTTGGGATTGAACTATGAACTATGAAACAATCCAAAAACTGATAAGTTTATGCATCACAAGTGTGAGTCCGATGTGATTACTGGGAATGTTCTCTGTTTGTTTTAAATAGAGCAAAAGCAAGTACTCGTGAAAACCCTAATCCAAACTACTTACGTAATTTTGAGGTCTGCAGGCTAAAGTATCTTAAGCTAACAAGTGAGAGTTCAATGTGATTACTGGGGATGTTTTTCTATTTATTTTAAATGAAACAAACGTGAGTATTCATGAAAAACCTTATCCAAACTGCTTATGCAATTTTGAGGTCTGCACCATGGCTAAAGTATCTCGGGCTAATAGTAAAAGTGCTCTGATAGAGTTGGCATGATCTTACACACTTGCACAAGGGACCAAAAAAAAAAAATGTAGCAAACTTTCTTTAGAAGATAGGAAAATAACAGATCCAGATAATAGAAAAAAACTAAAGGGAGCAACAACCTTACCCTTCTCTCCCAATAAGGATGAAAGCAAACAAAGTCGTAGACTGGAGTGATTGTTGAAACCAACACAACATTTAAGCCAGTAAACACCAGTAGTGCTGTCATAGGTCGGGTTCTATGAGGCATGTTTCTTTCTTATAGAGACCAAGCCCTGCAATCATATGCCATTTTAAGTAAGCTTTGACAGGTATACAAGTGTAGATAACAGAATATTCGCAGCTCAGTTATTGTCATGCAGAAAAGTAAACAGAAAGAAACCATGACCGACAACAAGCCAACAATGGCTTAAAATGGTGTCTGTGTACTACACAATTCAGACATCACTTGAGATTAGCTATGACAGTTTAATTTTTCAAGCGTCACCGAATCCATAACAAAGTCCATACTTCCTAATTCTATATGATACTGTAACTGAGATTCAATCATTTATGACAGAACCATTAACAACCTAGACCACTCACAAATTCAGTACACAAAATCACATTCCAAATCCAATAGAAACTTCCACTATCCAAAAGCAAGCTGAGTGAAAAAAGAAAGAAAAATACTACTTCCAAGTGCTCACACACCCCACAAAAGATGCTAGTGAGACATCTACGCTCCATCAAACCATTACTGGAGATAATTATTATGCTATGTTTGGTAGGAGGCAAAAGGAGCTGCGGAAAGGGAATGGAAGAAGGGACTTTCATGACGTTTGGTAGCTGTTAGATGAGTTTACGCAGAAAGACAGCTTCCATAATGTAAAGGAAAGCGGGTTCCTCTCATCTAATAGTGGAAATGCTGAACATTCAAATGAAGTGAGAAATCTGGGAGAATTTTGCCCGTGGAGTTTTCAGAGAGAGTAAAAAAGCATAAGCTAGACCCATCAAGCCAAAGAGCAGACTACCGCATAATTTCGTTGCTGTCACAATGAGAGCATGTTATGAGAATTTGGCCGTCAGCAAGTAGCCTTCACTTGTATTCTGCTTGTTCTCCTTGGATCTACAACATTTTCTTCACATTACCTTACTCTATTTCTGGGAACAAGCAATTCATCAAGTAAATTGCAATTTGAGATCAGCAATGTAAAGAACAAAGTCGAACTCTGTTATGTTTAGGACATAAATAAATACAATAAGCCAAGAAAGTTACAAGCAGAGATCATTCAAACCCAATATCAAAATTCTAATTCACCACAAAGACAAGCTCCACAAACAACTTCATTTCAGCAGAATCAACAATTAAGCTTGTTAGGACAACAGGAAATATATTTTATGGAGCACCAAGCAGTCAGTCAAACGAAATAATAGTAACGTAAAAACGAGGAACGGATTAACATAGTACTGTTTATATTCAACTCCAATTCATAATTCTATTTTCTTGATTTCTAGAAAACAAGTCATAAATCCCCTCCAGTGGTTCTTCACTTCTACAATCAAGCCAGCGGTTCTTCATTCACTTATAATTCGCCCGATACCAACAACTGGGTTCATTGAGTAGGACAGTAGGACCGAAGAGATGAAAAATAGTAAAACCTTGAACAAAAGCAGGGCAGTTAAAGATGGTGGCTACTGGGTGGGACAAAAGTTGTGGAACCCTTTGAAACAACAGTTGATGAACAGTGTCTTGGTACCCAAAATTAACCGGAGCTTCTATTCAACGGAGTAGAAGGTGAAGGTGAAGAAAACGCTGGCTCTGTACGATGGAGGTGGTGGTGCAGTGGGGGTGGCAGACGATAAAGGAGGAGGGAGGAGAAGCGAAGGGGAGCGCAGGGCAAATGAGACGTTTTAATACCTGCAATGGATAGTAAAAAGCTTTCTAACGGAGTTACAATTTTAGAAATTAGAATGATCCTTACTCCCTTAAATTTGATTCAATTATCAATTTAAATTTTTAAATTTATTTTTTATTAATTCAATTTTTTAAACTTATTTCAATTAATCATCTGATTCTTTTTGTTTTAAATAGATATTACACCATTAAAAATTATTAAAATAATTATGATAGTTACATAGATCAATAAAAATAAGTATACTTATTTAGCTAAAAAGTACTCTAAAATTTCAAAAAACAATAGAACAAAACCATAGAGATTATATTAATAAAAATTAGATTAATTCGTTTTCATCTAGTTGCATTTACATGTCAATCATCAATATATTTTAAATATTAGATTATTTTAAAAATCAATTTATGTTTTAAAACTTAAAAAATTTACATGATAATTTAAGAAAATACAAAAGATCATATCAATCAAAATTAAATTTGAAGAATTAAATTAATAATTGAAATAAATTTAAAAGCATAAAGGTTTCACTATCCCCACAATTTTTTTAGTAACTTTTTTTAATTTTAAGTGTAGGCTCCCATGATACCAAAAAAAATCTTCTCTTAGTGCTTCAATGGCTAACACCCTTAGGTCTGGTTTGGTTCATTGTAAACAGCCAGGAAAAGAAAAGGGAAAACAGATTTCCTTTTGATTGGTTAGGAAGAATTTCAATACTTGGAACTTTCAAGGCAAGACCTCAAGAAAAATTTTATTTTTCCAAGAAAATTTTCTTCATTCTCACTTTGTCCCTATAGCCTCCGTCGACCTTCTCCCTCCTCTAGACCTCCACCCACCAGATGCACCATCACCGCTTTGCACCCACACTGACCATCGCCTTCGTCGTCATTATTGTGCACCCATGTCGTCCATCGCCTTTGCCGTTGCTACCGTGCACCCCCTGAAGAAGAAGAACAATCCCTTGAAGAACTTATTGGACTCCTCAGCCACATGCTCCGACTTCACCATCTTCAATAGCGTCTCTACTCTTCTACTTCTTCACCCTCACCGTTGGCAAAATGCTCATCTGATGTCATGCAGTGTGCAACCCAGCAAAGAAAGTCGCTGGCCTCCCTCCATTTTGCTCCATTTTGTTCACATTGACACCATATCCACCTCATCCATTGTCATTCAAATTCACAACATGTATTGTCACTATTCACCATATTTATCCGTTGCTAGCATACTAGAACATGGAAGCTTCATGATGCAAGTAGTTGTTTGATAAGCTTCATTAACTCCAGATCTTTGACATTTGCATTTACTTTCACCAATTTTATTTTTCTAATTTGTGGTTTTTTATAATATGAATTTGTTGATTTTTTCTTTTTTATAAGTTGTTTGATTATGAGTGCTGCTTACTGTAGGATTTGTTGATTAGTGTACATCTGAAAAGTCTGATTAGAAGAGAGGAGGAGTGGAGGACGACAGTTGTGTGGGAGAGAGGAGAGGAGGATGGTGCCAAAGAGAGGAGGATAATATTATCTTTTTTCATTTTAAATACATATACAGAAAAATTAATTTCAAGATTCCATCTCTTTTTCAAGGTACTGAAACTCAGACCCGTTACTGAACCAGTCGTCACAGGTTAGCGGTCAGTTGAACCGGTCAACGGGAGGGCAAACTCAGGATCAAAATAATACAATTTAAATAAAAAACCATCAATTAAAAAAATATTTGATTAAATCCAAGATTAATCACTACTACAAGCCTTAATTTCCATTTTCAACAAAACTAAACACTTTCTAACTTTCAAGTAACAATCACGCACTGATCATTCAGACTCAGAGTAGTTCAATACTTACTCCCAGTTCAATCACGCACTGATCGACCAAACAATGACATTCAGAAAGGCTCAGCAACAATGACAAATGAAAACCAGCGAATAATGGAGAGGAGGAAGAGAACAGAATAGTAGAATACTGACCAGTAGAGGTCGTCACAATGAGTTTTGATTCACACAGAGAGAGTGCAATTTGGTTAAGGGGAGATGGCGTCGACAGCTAGGGATTCAGAGTTAAGAGAGCAATGGACAGTGTAACATCCTGATTTTTTATATAATAAAGAAATTGTGGAATTTAGGTTTTGAGAAAAAAAAATGATAATAATAGGAATTTATATTATTTGAGGTTATTTAGAAATAATATTATGGTTAGGTATTTAATTATGAATTTAAAAATTTAAATTTAAAACCACATAAGCAATATTTAGATAAGATATAATATATAAATAATTTTTTTTATGTGTGTGTTTAAAAAAAAAGAGAAGGTAGAAGGAACAAAAAAAGGAGGGTAGAAGGTTGTTGTTTCTAAGTCCCACATTGGTTAGACGAGGGAAGAGAAGAGGTGCCTTCATGTATAAAAAGGAGGGGGTGTGTGCATTAGGAAGCATGAGAGGCTAAGATGCAATTTAGAGAAAATTGCAACTTTTGGCCCAAAGGTTTGAATAATTAAATTCAAACCTATAGTTTTTTTTAATATAATTTTGGGACTCACAATCCCATTTTTATATTATTTTTCTCTCTTCCTCTCACGTTGCTCGGCGTTTTCTCGCAAGGGAGGATTATTTTCTTTTTCTTCAGGTATGTTCTAACTTTCCTGTTTAGATTAGCATTTAAAAATTTATTTAATTACAAAATTAATTTTATAGTTATTTTCTAAATAATATTAGCTTTCTAGTGATATGATTATTTTGTAGGATAGAGTAAATATTTTGATTAGGATTTTTTTATAGGATAGTTAATCTGATGATATGATAGATTAAAATATAGGTTAAAACTCTTAGGGATATAATAAATATTATAAAATATTTTCTTGAGGTTGAAACTCATGTTTAAGAATTTTTGAGTTAAAATCTAGATCTATATGGTTGAATTTATGTGGAATCTGAGATGTAGGGATAAATCTCTGATTATTAAATATTTATTTAAGTATGAATAGGTATTTTTGAGTTATAGAAAGGTGATTTGAGGTTTCAGGATAATTCTAAAATTTTTAATTTATTTTTGAACGAATTTTTAGAATATAGAATGATGAAATTGTGATACTAGAAGTGATTTGAGGATAAAAAAAATAGTTTATTAGGGTACGAGAATTTTAGAAAAGAATTTAGAAAGTTAAATGAGGCATAAATCTTAAATTAGTATTAATATGGATTATAGATCTAAGACTTTCTAACTCTTTAAATTAGAGTTATTTATTTTAATGTAAAATTAATATATAGTATTGTGAAATAATTATGTAGATTATATTGACAAAGATAGTGGTGAAAAAGGAGTTGTGAAGGGGAACTTGTTATTCAAGACACAAGGTAACCATTATTAATGTGTTGTGATGGGTGTGTTTGTGAATGGTTATGTGTTGTTTTGTTGTTTGGAAAAATTATGAATTATTGAAAATAAATACTGTTATATACTTCCGTGAAATCATTGCCAAGTGGGTTAAAAATTTATTTTTGTTTATCATGATGAGATATTATTGTTCGGATATATTCCTGTTTGGATATTTGAATGATGCATGACTTGTCAGGGTATTTTAATGTATGGTGTTAATGGGAATTTCTGTTCGGTTAATTATTACCACGTGGTAAGCCCTCATTGGACCCAATGAGTGGCGTGTCGCTTGGTCCAACTCACCTTTGGCCGGGTGATTTGGCGTCCGAGCATGGTGAAAGGAGGAGATAAGGTGCAGTCATGCAATTAAATACTTGTTCGGTTTGTTTGAAAATATTGTTTGGTTAAATGTTTTGTGTGCCCACTTAGCAATCGCATGATTAGTTACATCCGCATGCATCATTACATATTAATTTTTGGTTACTGGGACTTTTAAGTCTCATTCCCCGTGGTTAATATTTTTACAGGAGCGAATCCGGCCGAGAAAGCACCAGAGGTGTAATTATGGTGTATGAGACACCATCTTTTACGTTGCCTCTTATTTTGGATTATACAATGTATCTTGTGCCAACTTAGGACATATCTTGTCTATGGAGCATGTAAACTCTAATCCTTTTTATTAAATGCATTTATATGTCCAAGAGGATTATGTCTGTCCCTTTTGATTCATGACCTAATTTAAATAACATGCTATGAGGATCATGTCTGTCCCTCATGGTTCTAATTGCTTTTTGAGATATTTTAAGACCTGTGGTATATTGTCTTGGATGTATCATGGTAGAAATTTTTCTACCATGATAAGGGTATGATAAGGGTTCAATGAAAAAAAAAATGATTTGTTGAATTAATAATTTGCAAAAAATCAGTTTGTAAATTTGAGGGTGTTACAGGCAGCGGCCACTCAGTTTGAGGATCGATCTAGTTTGAGGGTGAAGTAAAGTCTGAAGAAAACTGAGTTAGAAAGGAAGGAGGAGAGCGATGGACGACTGCGATAGATTCAGGACTTTATTGCTTGACCATGACGGCGATTAAACTTGATGACGATGACGACCAGCAACAGCTTCACCGCTTCAGCGTCGACAGGTGACGGGCGACGGCGACAGATTCAAAACTGAGGGAAGCGACGGCAGCCAGGGATTTAAGACGCAAAAGACCGCTGTTCTTCGAAGGCCAACTGGCCAAGACTCGAAGAGTGAATTCACTTTATGCAGCCTTTTTTGAGTTTTTAAATTTTTTTCTAGTCAAATTAAAAAAAATTAAAAACCTCCAAAACGAAACTTTTTTGAGCTTTTTACTTTTTATGGTTAAATTAAAAAAAAAATAACCATATCAACCCAAAAACCTGTTGAATTGCCTGGGGTAAGTTGGGTTAATCTAGATCACTATCAAACTGAGTTAACTAAAAATTTGGATTGGTGGAGAGGCTAGTTTACTAATCAACCTAATTAATCTCACTTGAGTTTTCATTTTATACTTTTTTCAATCATACGAAAAATATTTTTAAACTTAATTTTATTTTCTTTTCTAATTCCGGTATCAATTTCATTTCCATTTCCAACTTCAACATACTTTCTACAAACCAAACTAAGCCTTAATCATAATAAACTTCATTATTTAAAAAAAAAAAAAGAACACTTCTTAACATTGGAGGTTCATAACAGGGTTAAACCAAAGGGACCTTCTTTCTTTCTTTCTTTCTTTCTTTTTTTTTTTTCAGAAGAGGAATTCTTTGTTCAAGATAACGAGAAGGGGGCGAACCTAATCACAATACAAGTAGACAGGAAGAAATTAACAAAACTAATGTAAATAAAACAACATGAGGAAAACAACAAAAGAAAAGAAAACAGCAACAAAACATAAAAAGTTAGCATTGATTACAGTTGCCGCTAATTCCTTCTCAGTCCGCCTCTAACGCACACTGTCAATTACTAAAATTAGATACGCCTTAGTCCTCAGATAGGTATAAAGCAAGAGGAGGTGGTGGTGGTAGAGGCACCCGACCCAAGGGTTCCAACTCTTTCAATGCTAAATCTCCTCGAAAGTCAGTAGTTTGATTTACTCCCTTAAGTACAAGAGAGAAAGATAACGATCCAAAAGACAAAATCATATCCAGTAAGCCACCTGCTAGCGTACGATACTGCCAAGCACGATTATACACTGATTTTCTGGAATAGATAGTAAAAAGCTCAAAGCAATTTGTTTCAGTGATTATATTTTCAGAAGGATATTCTCGGGCAGTCTCAATAGCCTTTCTAGCCACATATACTTCCAACAAGGAACCTTGAATCAACCAGCATTGTATCCAATCAGCTAGCTAGAAAGGCTCCGTCTGCACTCCTGACAACAATTCCAATCCTAGCTTTCCCAGTTGAAGGCCCCTTTGCTGCCTCAATTTCACAAAGACCCACATTAGCAAGCTAATAAGGTCACTGGGGTTTGGGAAGTTGCCATCAAACATCATCCTGCATCTAAATTTCCAAATATTCTAACAGAGTCACAAAATATATGCTTTTTCGTAATTATCTAATCAAGTGTGTATGCAAAATAAATCAATGATCCAGGCCCTAATTAGTTGAGTAAAATGGCTCTCTAAATGAAAATTAAGAAAGCATCCAAACCATGCATATTTTACCCAACAACAAAAGAGGAATAGATGTTCAAGAGTTTAGGGGCCTTACCACAAATGCTACAAAGAGGAGTCAACTTACACCTTCTCTTGTATTGTGCATCCTTCGTTGCAAGTGCAGAATGCATCAAACACCAAGCAAACATCTTAATTTTGGGAGAACATCAATGTCCCATAGAGCCTTCCAAATCTGTGTGTCCGGCACCACCTCTGGGCTTAAGGGAATAGACCTCCTCCATTTTATTCTATATGCATTTTTAACCACATAGTTCCCAGACTTCGGTCCTGCCCAAATAAGGTGATCTGGTTTGCCAAAAATAGAGATTGGAATATTCTGACCTCCCCTGGTGTATTAGATGAAAAGAATATGCTAGATTTGTCACAATTGAGTTTATGTCCTGACACACTACAGTAATTATCCAAAATGTGTTTAAAGGGCTGACAATTCTGAGCCTCAGCATTCAAGAAGATTGGTGTATCATCCGACAATAGAAAATGTGTCAATACAGGACATGTTCATGTAATTTTTACCCCCACTAGCTCTCCTCTAGATGCATGAGTATCAAGCATGGTCGACAACACATCGGATGCAAGGATAAATAAAGACGATGATATTGGGATTCCCTACTGTAGGCCCCAAAGGGCCTTAAGTTTTGGAAAAAAAAACATGAAAAAACACTAATTGTTTTTGGTGAGAAGGGAAAAAAAACTAATTAAAAAAATTGCATGGCTGATGATGCATGATTTCTTCTTATTTTTGCATAAAAAATTAGGACTCATAATTTTAATAGATCTATTACGAATATTTTTCAATTAAAACAAAATTGCACGTACTGCTGATATTAACGAGACGAATAATGAAGTTAACTAAAAACCCACAAACTTAATTTACCCAACAAATTCTCATGCATGGCATTTGAAATAACGGCATTTTAAACTCTCCCCTAACGTCCCACGCTTTAATTTTAATATTTTTTTTTTGCCTACTATAATTATAATATTGACTCTGAACATCTTGTTTAGGCGAGTTTATAGGCAAAGAAAATGGAGAAAATGGATACATGGCAATTTCCACGTCACCTCAATTGACTCAAAAGTCAAATCAAACCCACGTACCATTGTTTATTGGGTCCGCAGGTATGCTACAAAACGTTTAAAACGGAATAGGAATGTTGGCCCCAACTATAGCAATAAAAACGTGCCTGTGTGCGCGCTACAAAATGCCGCACGGTTTATTCGAAGACTCCTTAAACTCCATGCAACACAAAATATCACACGATCTTCAAAATACTGATGAAACATTCTCAAATTTAGAAATATAACCAAACACTCCTTCACAGTTCACAATGTTAAAGCTTGTGATTATTTTTGTTGGCTGTTCTAAAATTTATGCGCTAAACTCAATTATCCCATAAGTAATGGGAGTAAATAGTAACTAAAATAAAGCTGATATCTCGAGCACTGAACACTTATAAACAAACAGGAGTACAAATACTATCCTATATCCTTCCCTCAATTCTATCAATCAAGCATCTACAACACCACCAGATTATTGAGACTACTTTCAAACTAAAGAAAAATCAGCCAGAGACAACAAAGGTGGGTACCAACATCAGCAGTACGTGGAGAAATATATTACACATGAAGACGTGTACAGAACAAATTTTACATCACACTGATAGGCTTCAAGAGGAATTTGGTGTACAATGATTGTGTTCATGAGCATAACTCAGATGGGCCATTGAAATACCTCACTCCCTTGGCCTGGCAAGCCACAGCGAACTCAGGGCTCGTAGCCTGGAGAAATAATCACTTATTGCAAGAAGAGCTCGAGCTGACTGCCTTGTGGTTAATATCCGCAGCATTTGTTGTAATGTTTGCTGTCGCAGATTGTCAGCCTAGTCATACGAGCACACAATTAAATTGACGTCGTCTTTGAACTAATTAGATCTTACCATGTCTACTGAGAGCAAAATCGCCCATTACTTTTAGGACTATATATACCACAATGATTGGACTCTCGTCAAACTGACACGCATGAGTCCTTTCATGTCCACCCCTCACTCTAATTAAAAGTAAAGTAATCCTCCTCATTCATTTTTCCACCAAATACTTTCATTTTTCCACCAAATACTCCGATGATGTTTTGCATCTTTAAATCCATCGAATGAAGGTGCTGAGGCAGCAACAACAATACAGATGATAGATAGATAGTTAATTACCTGGCGAAGAAACCCCTCAAGAGTACCCAGCTTTCCCATCGCCATAGCCATCTGCCCCATATAGTTTGCCACATTTCCTGATGGCCCTGAGGGGGTGGATGATTCATTAGCCAATGTCTCAGCCAATGACTGCTGTAATGCATCCATTCCTTGGGACAGTGCATCTTCAGCCTGTTGGGATGACTGTTGCAGGCTGTAAATGTTCATCAACTGTTGCTCTGTTAATGGCTCCAAATGACTTCCAAGAAGCTGAACCAGAGCCAACAAAGTTCAGAGTTAGACAAAGAATATCACTGCACGGAAAGTCCTTCAACAATTTATAATGCGAAAATTGCCAAACCATTACCCCAACACACCATGGATGACAGAATACAGCATCTAGCTAAAATGAATGTGAGAGAGGGAGAGATTCCTCACCTTGAGAAGCTCCGATGAGCGAAAGCCTCCAATCCACATGAAACACCTCTCAGCTGGTGTTTTCCACATTCCAGATAGGATGTGGAAGACATCAGCTTTGGCTGCAACACCCTTAAGCCTGAAAATCTCTTCATAGTGCGTCATAACATTGTCAACAATTGTCCGTAGTTCAATGTCTCCAGCATGAGAATTGACTGCAGCCCTTAGCTCATTTATCTGCCGATTATGCTCTTCTAACCAACGTGCATACTCTACATCAAACGTCATTGCACCTGCAGGACAAAGCCAGGTAACACAAGTGTTAGCAATTGAGAATCTCAATCAAAGAATACAAACTTTTACAAGGTAGAAGAACGAAGCTGCTCCAGCTTTTGAGCAGCGAAGACATGGAAGTTTCATTAGAAGATTGTAGAGGAAGCTTGTTGGGAAAATAGGAATTAAAGAAAGGGCGAGGATAGAGGGAGGGGAGGCGTGAAATTGGAACTTTGAATGGAGGATCAAGTTCCTCAAAAGAGCTAGATTTTTCTTGCTTCCTTTCAGAGCTTTTTCAACTTCGACGCTACAGTAAGCTATCATTTAGAACAAGGGCATGGCATTTTGAGATAAAGCTACATAAGGCTGGCAGAGTGGAAAGCCACAATTCACAAACTTCTGCATCCACTACTCATGCCGATTGAAACATCAAAACTTGTCATCAAGAATTCATCACATGAAGTGATTTTGAGTCTATTTGACCAACATATACAGAATATAAATGATGTCCGCTAACAAGGCCAGAGGTACTCATAACAAAAGGGACTAAAATATACAGGAAAATTTCATTCAACCAATAATCACAGGGTCATTTTGATGTTAGATTTAGAGCCTAGGTTACAGATAAAAGAAGGCACGGAAAAAGCTTTAGCTTGATTTGGGATCCCATGTTGTAATAAGGCAAGCAACTTAGCAGGACGCATCATCTACTTCTTGTCAATAGTACAGTTTACCAATAAATTGACTGAATGCCATGCTAAGTACTAACAACCTTTAGATCAGTTATGGTAACAGCCTTAAATTAGAAACAAACTCAAAACATCTAAGAGACAACTCCAAGTATAAAGCCACTAATGATGTACTTAAGTCCCAGGCTTGAGTCACATGATTGGAGAAAGAAGTTTAAATACCATTTCCGCTCATTGAATGAGACTGATCTCCCATACTCGAAATAAATATGCCCTGCAAAAAAAGATTAATAACCTAATTATAATCTATAATGCAATAAAATTGCCAGGATAGGAGGGAGGAAAAATACAGCATTTTGTAAAGAAAACACATGAAATTTGAACAGGAACACCTTAAAACATAATATAACCAAACCTGCTGGCGGGCTCGCTGGAGCTCCTGCTCAAGTTGAGTTAGTTTCAGCCTGCTACTTTCTAGTTGCTGCACATATGCCTGAATGAATATGAACAATGATTATAACAGATTGAGAAAGAGACATGAAACAACTTCAGATTTTCATTAAACCTGTAATATGACAATGCTGTATGCAGCAGCTGCCCAATTATTTCGTTATAATTAAGAACTACGTTAGCAGGAGGTAGTGCACTTTCAATCAGCTAAAAAAATCTTACTTTTTTCCGTAGCCGACTTTTTCTTGCAGCTTCACGATTTTGAGCTAGGCGCCGTAATGTCTGCATGGTTATAAAGTAATTATATAACAATAACACCATGCTTAAATTATACAAACAAAACTATACTGATATAACCTTCTGATCTGTTTTATCTTTTGATCTCTCACTGGAATCAGAGGCTCCAACAGCTAATTGACCCCTCTCAGACTGCAAAACAACACCACATTTGATAAATTTTTTTTTTTTTCTAAAAGCATTTTTCTATCTGCTTAAGAATGTACAGCATTAGCTATAATAGACGGCATCACCAAAAGGTAATAAATTGATGCATGACCAAAATTCCACAAGATAAAATGTATAATGAAGCAAAAAAGTCACCCTCTGATTTTTATCATCTGTATCATCTGTTGAAGTGTCAGTCCTTGGGCTACCATCTGCCATGTTGGACTCCCCCCAGTTCTCACGCTGGCCACCAGATGTAGAAGCCAGGTTGGAATTTGAGTCATTTTGTAGTGGTAATGTCTGAGACCCCATGATTGCAGCAGAGAGATTTTACATTAGATGTTGCTATTGACTGTATCTTCCACATGAGAGAAGGGTGCAAAAAGTAGGAACTCCAATAATATTTCAGGATCATTGTATACAGAAGATTCAGAATTACCTTATTTAAAGTGCCAAATTGAACATCAACGCCTAGAGGCTGGTTATTTGACTTCATTTGATTGAATACAGGATCTGGAAATTTATAAAATAATCAAGAGGCGTTAGTTATAAGCAGCATAACTTAATAAACCAGTAAATCAAAACAAAAGCAAACAACTTGAAAGTACATTGTTCTGTTTTTCCTACCCACAACATAATTAGGAAAAAATTCATAAAATACGGTAAATTAGAATAGCAAGCAGCAAGGACCCTAAGTCCGCAAACAAGTTCAGTGAAACAGTCAAGGCATTTGTGAAAATAATTAAAGCATCGAAAATTCTTTTTTTTTTTTCCTTTTCCCTTTATAGGGCCTGAGAAGATCATTAAAACAATGAGTATGAGATAAGATAATTAAATGACAAAAGAATAGAGTAGGAGCAACAATAAAATAAAGAAGGGTATAAAGATAAGAAATTAAAATGTCAGCATCATACTTCTGCTAAGATTGATAGCGTCCTCCACACGAAATCCAAAAGACTGATCAATGCCTCCAAATTCAGAAATTCGGGAAGGAATAACAGTAGTTCCTTCCGTACCCCTGGAAAACCAAATTCATCACATCAACAGGTCATAATAATGTAAACATATTCATGCAAGATTCAGAAAACCCGGCAAACATAAAATCATATCTCCATGCTAAAAAAGAAAGCCCCAAATTGTATTATCATTTTATAAAAGACGCATCCATGAGAAAACAACCCTCGTGACAACCTATTGACCAAACACGAGGCGCAGTGTCAATTTTCAGAATAGCACTGCCTCTCGAGCAACACGACCCGTTGCTATTTGTTATTTATTAGGAATCACGCTACAACATTATAACTATCATCAGTATGAGTATGAAAGTGAAGAAAACAACAGTCAACCGTGCTGAAACATTAGCTCAAATTTAAAACGTAAAGGTTAAAAAAAATTATAAATCTGACAGCAGGAAGTAAAAACAATAGAAAACAATGTGAAACAGAGGAGCCATGTGAAGATTTACATGGAAGAAGAAGTAGGCAGCGGAGGAGCGTAACTCGGCATGCCGTTCGCAAACTTGTTATTGTTGTCGGTCTTAGTATTTATTGTTCTACTACCCATCAATAATCATCCTCGGCAATACCATGTTATCTCCCGCAAACAATAATCGGAGGAGGCCTGCGTCCATTTCAGAAAACAATTTTAAAACAGACATAAAGCTATTCTTAACTCATAAAGCTATTACCCAAGCATATTAAGACTTGACGGTTTCCAAACGCCAAAGCTTCAAGAAAATCGCAAGCTCCAAAAACAGAATAAAAATAAGCACTGCGAATTCATGTAATACCATGACCAGCCAAATAACTACGAGGAGGAAGAAGCTAAGACAGCATGACTCTCCGTATACCGTCTAGAAACAAGGACCACGCTTTCAAGCTCAATTCTTCGCAGCACAAAATTGCCAAATAGAGAACCACGACCCAAAAAAAAGGGGACAACAGACAAGAATCCACCTTCTAAAAACGAAACTCGCAACAAATAAGCTTAAGACACCTTCCCAGACTTGAAGTAAAGACAAAATAAATTTAGCAGGCGAAACAGGATAATTAAGAATTTTTCTCCGGATTGATCGAGCCCAGAAGAAGATACAGAGAGAGCTCTGCAAACCCTAACCAGTGACAAGATGATGATAAATACCGAGCCCTTTTGACTTTTGATTCAATGAATCATCAATATCAATAATATAGTAATAAAAAATAATTTTCAACAGTACATTTTTTTACTCTTTAACCAGAAAATTTTTTTATGCTTTTTCACTCGCGTACTGTTTATGATTATCGTGTCACATATTAAAGTAAGAGAATCAAGCCATCAAGTTGATGTAGTACGCGATTTATCAAAGAAGTGGGAAAAGAGAGAAATACCAAGTCGCGTGACATCGAGACCATTCCAATTTCCGCCGTATGTCCCTTTCGTCGGAAACTCGCTCATTTTTAAAATCGCGCCTTTTTAGATTCTTCGCATTTCTGTGAACTTTGCCACCTTTTAGTCTCTGTTCTCTTGCCTGTGATCGTATCGGTGTTGTCTAAACTTTCCCATTTACTGTATAGTTTAGTTAGCATTTGTAAATCTGATGATATATTTACTTTTCAGTTTTAAAATATAACAAATAAAAATACCGGCATAAAATTAGTGTACCATATTCGACAGGGCATTTGGAATATAATATGGATATGAAAGCAAGTCTTTTTTTTTTTTCAACATATAAGTAGTGTGGGTATATAAAAAGTAAAAATTATTTTGGAATGCTTTAGTATTGTTCAAATTCGAATGCGATTAATTATTTGTGTGGACGTACTCTATGTGTAGTAATAATTGCTCATGTGATAGCAATCCTTTTTAATGATGAGAGGTCCTTTCAATGGTTTATATTGCAGCAGAGTTCCCAACAACGAATCGATTCGCATCAATTCCCAATTGATTAAATTTGATTGATTCCAGTTGGTTCTTGTCATCATTTTAATCAAAATTTCCCTTTTTTTTTTCCTTGCCAGAAAATAAACTGTCCCTTAAGAAGTTAATAATGTCATTTTTTAAAAAATCAAAAAAAATCTACTTCCGTACTAAATTATAAAATATTTTTAAAGAAATGTTTTATTTTAAAATATAAAATATTTTAATAAATTAAAGTTTTATTAAATGCATTAATTTTAATATTATTATTTCTCTCTCTGTAATTAATTTTTATTTTTTTAATATATTAAATAATGGATATTTTTAAAAGTTTATATTTTTATTTTAAAAAAATAAAATTATTAAGTATATTTAATAAAATTTATTAGTATGTATAATTTTATTTAATTATTTTATAATTTAGAACGGAACAAGTATGATTTAAATTGTGGAGTGATGTCTTCAATTAGAGTAGAATGCATTTTAAAATATAAATCAGGATAAAAATAGATGGCAAAACTAAAACGAAAAAAGAGATTGGGATAACAAATAAAAATAGGACGGCCGAAATAATTCAGAAAAGGGCAGGAAGTGGTGGTAGCTTGGTAATTTTAATGACAAATGGTGGCATTTTTTTTTAAAGGGTTGTAGGTGGGGAGTGGCGCGGAGGGTGTGGATTATGGAAGGCACGTGAAGGAACGGCGGCCGCCTCGGTGGACACTGGAAAGGAGGAAGTTTCGTAAACGAAATGGAATGCCAGTAATACCCCTATCGTTCAACTGCAAAGTCAAAATTTGTAACTTCGGCTCCAAGACGCTGGAGTGGAAATTAATTATTAATTATTATTATTATTATTATGGAAGTTATTATATATATATATATATATATGGAAGGATGACATTTAAGGGAATGTATCGTGACAAAGACCAATAAAATTTGTACAAGATATTATTTTATAAAAACAAATAGTATAAGTTTTTATTAAAAATTGAATCTTAATTTATTAAATTTTCAAGAAATTTCTAATAAAAAGTGTTAGTTAATGTTTAGCTTTTAATAAACCGTGTATGTGTTTTCATAATATATAAAGAAAAATTCATAAGTTTTTATTGTAATAAATTTTTTTAGGAGGGTTTTAAATATCATTCTTCATATATATGTATATATATTACTTCCATTGTCTCAAATTACAACTTTAGAAAAATTTTATTATCTTAAAATATAGGATAATTTAAAAAAAATAAAATTTTATTAGTAATTTTTTTTCAATATTACCCTTTAAATGAGAAGGGAAATAAAATGATATTGTAATAAAATAATTAAATGTGTAGAGACATTTTTAAAAGTTTTAATTTTGTTTTGAAAGTTACAAAATAAAATAATCAATTCAAACAATTTAAGAAGATTGATTAAATACAATAATTACATCTTAAAGTTAAAAATTGAACTGAAAAATCTCTATAATTAAAGAAATGAATCTATCTAATAAAAATAAATATTAATTTTATGAGGACGAATATATATATGTGTGTGTGTGTAAAAGGAGTAGTATATTATCATCATTCCTCATCATTCCTTCAATTGTTATGATACTAGTAATAATCAATAATCAATAATTATTATCGTTTGCTGTCCTCCAGTAGTCAAAAGCCTCCTTTTCTTTTACCTTTCACCTTCCCTCGTCAACTAGCCCATCATCATGACGTCTATTTTTCGTCCACCTCAATCAATTCATCCACTCCTGACATTAATGCCATCCGATTATATCACGTTTGTTATAATTGTTAGTATAATTAAACAATTACGTATTAAACTCGCTGCAATTATTTCGTCACGTCAAAACTTAACTGTATTTTTAAAAACTTGGTTAGTATTTCGGGGCGAAATGTAATATACAGCTCTATCACCAAACATTTTAGTACTGATCTCATGAAATATTTGTCATGTCATTGTTTGTTCTTTGTGTCGTACTGTACAGTGTATACAGTGTACAGAGTGCAAACACAAGCAAATAATGATACCTCTATTTATGAAGCGGGCTTAGGCCCATGAGCCTCGCAAGTAGGCCCGATAACAAATGGGCTTTGTGTAAAAAAGGGCTATTAGGCGAGGCAGTTAAGCCCGATGAAGAATTGGGCTCATTGACGAGGACCGCACGAGGGTGTTGTGGCGCACAAAGAAGGATGAATCTGAAGACGAAATTAGAAGTGACTTGCTCATTAATTAATTAGATGGTGTCATGCATTATTATTGCTGAGTTGGGATGTCATCAACCAAGAAATGTCCCGCGCGTGCTGCATCATAAGTCGTTGGATATTTAAGAAACCTGGTGTGGAGGGTATCATAACGAAAGACAAGAAAGCGATGAAATGCGAAAAGCAAAAAAACAAAGACGGCTCGTCTGATTGCAACACGGCGTTGCTAGTTGCGTTGTATGCACTGCCGTTTGTAAATTACAATGTTACGTCGTTGTCACTTCAACCATGCCTCCATGCGTTCTCTGGTTCCCCCATTATTCACTCACTCCCCGGAGTGGTTTCAATTTGATCAAAAAAAAAAAAATTTTTAATCAAATAATTTTTTTTACCAATCTTTTTAATCAAATCTTAACCTTCAATAAATTAATTATTTATTTTTTTAATAAATATTATTTTTTATATTTATTTTATATAATAAAATATTTCACTCTAAAATAAATATAAAGTAATTATTTAGTGTGAAATTTTTTAAAAAAATAATTATTATATTTTAAAATATTAAAATATTTTTTAACATGTAACTTTTTAAAAAATATTTTATATTTTTAAATAAAAAGAATATTATTTTACAGATTTTAGAAAAAAAATAATAGGAGTGACGGAAAAAATAAACGAGAGCAAGCGAGGTTGTTTGTTGACGCATGCGTGGGTGTAATAAATGAAATGCTGAAAAGGGTTAGGGGCGTGTGCGCCTGTAAAATCCAACGACGTGAAAGACTTGGTTCAGTGCATCGACTCCTCCAAGAGCCGTCTTTTCGAAGCTGTCTTGTCACCCTCCAGCTTGCACTCCATGTCATCTCATACAACTTGCATTTTGAAATCATTTATTTTTTTACCTGTAATATCTTATTTTATGTAATTTTAAATTTAAATTCATTTAAGAATGTAACACTCACATTTGTCCCCTCACTTCAATTGATGTGAGGGAAAATTGTATTAAAGAATAACTTTTCTGTTAAGTTCTATCCAAAACTTGTTCTCCAACATATATTATTAGACTTGTCAGTATTTGTTCCATCTCAATTTCTAAACAACAATTCCTGATTTATAATATATTACCCTAAAAATTATAAATATTTTTTAAATTTATCATATCATGCGAAATAAAATTAACTTATTTTATTTAAGAATTTGTTGGTCCATGCATAGTGAGAAAAATAAAACATGTATCATAATGAATGATACAATATATTATGTCATAATAATATTTATAAATCATAATATAACCAAAAGTAAAAACAAATATGAATAATAATTTTAAATTAATTAATTAGAATAGCCAATATTATAGTACTTTTGATTAATTATATACTCCATTCGTTAAAAAATGTAAGACATTTTTAATTGAATTACACTCTTGACAGAGTAATTAGTTATCACATAACTAACATTATTTTTTTATATTTATCCTTATTTAATAAAATTTTTTACTTTAAAATAAGTATAAAACAACTTATTTATTGGGGATGCTCTTTGTAAAAGCAAATTAATTACACCTTGAAATATAAAAAATGAATTACATTTTTTTAACATTCAAACTCTAAAAAAATGCCTTATATTTTTTTAATGGAGGGACTATACACTTATGATGATAAAAACGACTACAAGAAGTTTACGATTACAAGGTGTGTAATAAAAAATAAATTCATTAACCTCATAGTATCAAGTTTATTTTTATGTATACTATTTTATATTTTGTTACTCCTGGATATATGAAAAATATAATAAACAACTTGTCATGTATCCAATGATATGTTATTCTCACATAAATTAAAATTTAAATAGCAATATACTTTACTTAATATTTTGTTATTTTGAAATAAAATTATATTTTATAAGTTAAATTTTGAAATTAAAATTGTAGATGAATTAAAATTTAAATACCTGGTTGTATTTTAAATTTTTTCCTACATATGTATTTAAAACGTAAATAACAACCCTTGTATATTAAAAAAATAGATTTCAATTTTATAAAGTTGATATCTGTAAATTTCAGTAATTTTATTAAATATTTTTTATTTTTTTAATATAAAATTTTCTCTTTATTTCTTAAAAAAGAAAACTTTACAGAAATTTACAGATATTAACTTTAGAGGATTTAGAT